GTGTGAGAGTGTGTGTGAGTGTGAGTGAGTGTATGAGTGTGAGTTTGTGTGAGTGTGAGTTTGTGTATGAGTGTGAGTTTGTGTGAGTGTGTGTATGAGTGTGAGTTTGTGTGATTGCGTGTATGAGTGTGAGTGCGTGTATGAGTGTGAGTTTGTGAGTGTGTGTATGAGTGTGAGTTTGTGTGAGTGTGTGTATGAGTGTGAGTTTGCGTGAGTGTGAGTGTATGTATAAGTGTGAGTTTGCGTGAGTGTGAGAGCGTGTATAAGTGTGAGTGTGTATATGAGTGTGAGTTTGTGGGTGTGTGAGAGTGTGTGTGAGTGTGAGTGAGTGTATGAGTGTGAGTTTGTGAGTGTGTGTATGAGTGTGAGTTTGTGAGTGTGTGTATGAGTGTGAGATTGTGTGTGTGCGTGTATGAGTGTGAGTTTGTGTGAGTGCGAGTTTGTGAGTGTGTGTGTATGAGTGTGAGTATGAGTGTGAGTGTGTATGAGTGTGAGTGTGTATGAGTGTGAGTTTGTGTGAGTGTGTGTATGAGTTTGTGTGAGTATGAGTTTGTGTGAGTGCATGTATGAGTGTGAGTGTGTATATGAGTGTGAGTTTGTGTGAGTGTGTGTATGAGTGTGAATTTGTGTGAGTGCGTGAATGAGTGTGAGTTTGTGAGTGTGTGTATGAGTGTGAGTTTGTGTGAGTGTGAGTTTGTGTTTGTGTGAGTGCGTGTATGTGTGAGATTGTGTGAGTGCATGTATGAGTGTGAGTTTGTGTGAGTGTGTGTATGAGTTTGTGGGAGTTTGTGTGAGTGTGAATTTGAGTGAGTGTGTGTATGAGAGTGAGTTTGTGTGAGTGTGAATGCATGTATAAGTGTGAGTTTGTGAGTGTAAGTGTGTGTGTACCTACTTAACCATATTTTGGGGACAAATTTGTACCCAAAAGTGCACAAAACCTGACTAAATTGCCAAAAACCTCCATCTGGGGATGTCCTAATTTGTCAAACTTTTTTTTTTTAATTGTAAAAATGCAGAAAATTTTCTGTGAGAGGTAGGATTAGGGGTAGGGGTGGGTTTAGGTTAAAAAGTGTATAACTATCTGTATATAAAAGCAATAGAAGTCTATGTAATTTCCCAATTTAGATAGCTAAGTAAACGTGTGTGTGTGTGTGTGTGTGTGTGTGTAGGTGTGTGTGTGAATGTGAGTGAGTGTGTGTGAACCTGTGAGTGTGTTTCCTCCTTTATAAGGCAGAGTCTTCACGGCGTCGATGACAGCCTCTTTAGTGCTGTGAGTGTTCAGATGCCACTCAATCCGCGGATCCCCGCTGTACTGCGCCAAACCTGAACACACACACAGTATTAACACACTAACACACAGCGCAAACACACAAGAAACAAACATACAAACGAGACTGCAGACGCACCAACACGTGTGTGTTCAGATCCAACTGCGAAGGCCCTGACGAGACTTTCCAGAAACATCCGCACCAAACGGAAATTAATTCGGCCGATGCTCCACGATCCATCCACCAGAATCACGATATCGGCAACGGCTGGAGTTCTACATGTGAACACGTCCACTAAAGAGACAGACAGACAGAACAAACACACCGGATGAAACGACAGCAGCAGATCAGTGCTTATGACAGAATAAATGTTAGCACGAGGGCTGCGGTCTGAACAACGCTCAGGTCAAAGGATGAATGACACAAACACTCAGAGTGCTGATGAATGTCTTTATTTCAGTTTTGGACTGTCAGATGTTTCAAATACAACACTAATGTGTCTGATTCCCTCATGACGAGCCTGAGCCGCCTCTGAACCGGATGAAAGATGCTCTAACCTGCAGAGAAACATTCAAATCAAGAGCAACAAAACAGCATTAAAACACAGGAGAGAACAGCGTATAGAATAGCGTGTAGAACTGAGTGTAGCGTGACGCCATGCATGTGTTCTGCTGTTCCTGCTGTAACACGTTCAGCTTAAACTCTCTGAATTTGTCTTTCACTCTCAGATGCCTGGCTTTTCTTTTACCCATAATGCCATGCTTGGTCAAGTCTATACACATTAGGAACGTGTGCTTTCAGAAGTCTGTGACAGCCTTGTGGTGTGTGTGAAATGAAAGTCAAGCTGTTTGCACAAACGAGTGAAAGCACACATTCTGCTATGTCAGAGTGAAGGTCAAAGGTCAGGGTAAATCAGGGCTCAGGGTGGAGACAGCGTTAAGGCTTATTCACACCAAGAACAATAACTATAATGATAAACTATAACAGCATTCACATCAGCAGACGATAACGTTGTGTTTATTGTAAGAGCTGCAGTTTTGTCCTCTGTCTTTAAATGCTCGAGCTCTTTAAAGCAGGATGGATTCTGATTGGCTGTCAATGTGTTTATCATTGATCAGCTGGAAAACAATCACTCTGAAAGTGCTTATTAAAACTTTATGGTTATAGCTATTGTTCTTGAAGTGAACGGCCTTCACAATACACCTGAAAACATGAATACAAAATGTTTGTTTTGTTAACGTCTCATTCACATTTAGCCAGAACCTAATGTAACCGGCTATAAATGATGCATACATAAATGATCAGGAGGATAAGAGTTAAATAACGATCAGATAACAGTCAATATTTAAATGTAACAAGTAACATTAGCAGCTATTAATTTGCATGAATAATACTTCAGTATGATTTTAACGTGTGCTGTGATTAATCTTGCTTCATTTCATGATGATATTTTTTGGTTATTAATCTTAATGTCAAATTTAGAATTTCTTGACATTAGTTTCTAAATCTATAAATGTTTCCTTTATTTGTCCAAAACGAAGCTCATTCAGTCAGTCAGTTCAGCAGATTGTTTCATATATAGCTTAAACTATGAATCACAACAAGAGTTCGAAAGAGTCATATAATACAGAAATAAACTTCAATTCGTTGCAATGTGAATTTTCACTCCGCCTTCAGTGTGAAGCATTTCAGATGGACACATTGCTTCATTCTGAACAACCTGTCAAGACAAAAATGAGTTCAGTGTGAATCTGCCTTGAGGGTTAGAGAGGGTCAATGTTAGGGTCAGTGTGGGGTCAATGTTAGGGTCAATATGGGGTCAGCATTGTGTTAGGTGCATTCCTTTTTAACTTGAAAGTCAACATGAAATCAAAATGTACCCTATCTTTACTGAATACATCATCCTGCTCATTGTGAATGATTTATCAGTGCCGTCATTATTAAAAATATTTCATCAAAATAACTTGCTCTTCCTCTGAAATAACTTTTCTTTTTAGCAGTCTCTGTTTTTAAACCACGTGCCCAATCAATGCTGTAGGTAAAAGACATTTTAGGAAGATATATGACTATCCTTCTCCACTCTGAAATGTCAAGATGGGTTACAAACAATGTGTCATGACGGCTTTAACTCAGGGATCACCCAAAGCCACACAAACACACTGTGCGTAAATGATGATTATATGTGACCTAAAGCTACACTGAACGACAGCGAATAGTCAACAAGAGCAAGAGAGAGAGAGAGATGATAGAGAGAGAATGACTGCAGGATAGAGATACGCGGGCACACCTGCATGCCCATAAGGCACAGAGACACAGAGAGAGAAATGAATGAAAGTATTTAGCTAGTGTAGACTTGCAGAGAGAAACTGCGCAGAGACATCAGGACAGAAAAGGAGACGGTGAATGAGAAAAGACATAGTCGCATCACTGTCAGTGTTTCTGAGGCCTAGTGCTGCCAGAAGTCAGAAGACGATACCAGCGTTTCCCGTAGCATTTTGAGCGGATTCTTAAACAGCTCTGATTGGCCATTGTGTTCTCGTGCTCAACAGATATGTCTGTGATTGGCTACAATGATCGCGTCTATCAGCGGATCCCTGATATATCTGCTCATAGATGGAGCGCTCAGAATGCTAGGGGGATTTGTGCTGAAAAACACCAGACGCAAGCTTATGAAACGCCAGCTGAGCTTCTTTATCTCCAGCGCCATGTTTTTAGACCGTTTCATGAGCGAGACAACACGATGCAGCGGTGAAACACACCCATCAGGCGCATGTTTACATAGAAAAGCAAAGGAAAAGCAGAAAGCAGTGCAGAACTACTACTGTATGTCTGATATTTGACGCGTGCATGATGCTGACAGACTGAAAGCTGCTGCTGTTTTCATTCACTGTTAATAATCGCTGCTGCTGCTGTTATACTGACCGTCACGAAGAGTTTGAATCGTCTCTAAAACTGAATGTCTACATTTTGGCTACATATTTAGCATTTTAAATGATTTCTGAACATATAACATATGTGTAAGACAATATTCGCCTTCATATTTCATGCATCTTCTCTGCAAAGATATTTAACAAGTGAGTTTGTCTGCACTTGAAACAGAACTTTCTTTAACCAGATGGTTCATTACGAGAATGTTACATGAATCATGTTACAGTTACATTTTACAAGTTGATTAGTTAAACATGAAAAATGAAATCAGATAAATCTGGAATCAGTTAAACATTCTCAAGTAACTGAGATTTTATTGTTTGTAATATCGCTCAAACAGAGATCTTTTGAGAAGATTTACAGATGTGTTTCTCTCTCTTTCTTCAGCAGACGGCCCTATAATCACATTCAGTATAATTCACACACACACAAACAAGCCGTCAATCTCCACACTAATGTCACGTTTGTAGAGCCTAAACCCATGAGCCTCTGCGGTCGCTGTGTTTCAAACCGCCATTTAAACTGGAAACTAAATACAGCAGAGAGCAGACGCTTGCGTAACCCTCTCTAACATTTAGAAACAAATACAAGAGACATAGAAAAGTTCAAGCTAACATTTAGTGCTGCGTGAGATTTTACATATTTCCAGCCAGACTAAATCATTTCCATTGATCGTTCCGGCTCTAAACGTTGTGTGAAAAACAGAGACTCGTGAACAACTATCAGAAAACACACAAACATAAAGATCAGAAGAACCAAGAGGACGTTAAGGTCTCAAGAGCAACGTGTTATAGTTCAGTTACTCTTCTTCTTATTATTTTTGGAGTTTTGGTCCCTTGCCGCTGTCGCCTTTGGCTTGTTTAGTTGGGGACGCTTGACTGATTGCACAGAAACTAATGGAAGAGAACTGAACTGGACGATGAATCACTGAATCATCAATCAACTGACTTCAGCTGGAAAAATGACTCTTTGTTTTAGTCTTCTTGCATTATTGACAAACTATTCTCTTGTTTGACACTGTAAAGCTGCTTTGACACGATCAGTATTGTATAAAGAGCTATACAAATAAAGGGAAAAACATTGTGTCTGTGAAAGAGCTTCATCAGGGCAGGATTAACATGAACTAAATTACATTATTATCATGCCTCTTTATTGTTTTAAATGATTAACATCCAGCAGATTCTCCAGATGGATCCTAACACACTCTCCACAGTGACAGCAAACTGATGGTTTTCTGATGGTTTGAGGCTCTTTACGAGGTCAGTCTCTCACACAGGACCCAAATTAACCCTCGCTGAGAGTAAATGGGCTTCGGTGAGTAAATAAAGTTTTATGAGTTACTTATGTTGATTTATGAGTTACTTGTCAACACAGGACATGGTGTTTAGATCACACCGTAAGAAACTCAAACTACTCGTATCAGATCAGCAATCCACGTGAGCAAAGGCAAATAACGCAACTGTGCTTCCGCAATGAAAATAACGCAACTGTGCTTCCGCAATGAAAATAGCGCAACTGTGCTTCCGCAATGAAAATAACGCAACTGTGCTTCCGCAATGAAAATAGCGCAACTGTGCTACCGCAATGAAAATAACGCAAATGTGCTTCCGCAATGAAAATAGCGCAAATGTGCTTCCGCAATGAAAATAACGCAACTGTGCTTCCGCAATTAAAATAGCGCAACTGTGCTTCCGCAATTAAAATAGCGCAACTGTGCTTCCGCAATGAAAATAGCGCAACTGTGCTTCCGCAATGAAAATAACGCAACTGTGCTTCCGCAATGAAAATAGCGCAACTGTGCTACCGCAATGAAAATAACGCAAATGTGCTTCCGCAATGAAAATAGCGCAAATGTGCTTCCGCAATGAAAATAGCGCGCATTTTAAAACATAATAAGAAGCACTTTATTTTTGGACTCTGATTACTTCCGGTTACTACCAGCACTGGTCAAGTCGCACAGCGGTAGTTTAGTTAGTTAGTAGTTTAGCGTCTGCAAGCTTGTGGCATCAGACCTGGTTAGGACACGGTGTTTCCACTAAACAAAGTCTGACTTTGTCCACGTATCTGCAACACTGACATGCAAGATTGGATGCTTGGCTTTGTGGAGAGACAGAATAATGAGAAGAGAGTGAGACTTTTGGGACCAATCCAAAGGAAGTGTGTATTTGTGAGGACGTCTGAAGGGTGTTTATGCAGACACTCAACACATGCTCATCTCTCTCCAGCCCGCGCAGGCATTCCTCTCAACACTAAACACCGTGCACTAGCCCACAAACCCGGGTTTGTGTCTCAGTCAGCAGACGTGATTCCTCTTCAGAGCGGATGCAGCAGGCAGAAGATAAAACACTGTGAAGAGCACCAACCTGATTGCAGCTCTCTCCTCGGGTAAACGTCCCGGCTCGTGTCCAGTCAGAGTTTGTGTGTGTTTGAAACATAAATGAGTTTTATACTGCCAGCGGATAAACCTCTCAAACACCTGGCAGGATCATGTCCGGCTCATGTTTCACCACAAAATCAAACTAAAAATATTGAATGCACAACCAAAATAAAGCCCATTTTCATTGCTGTATTGTATCGTTAACACAATTAAATCCCAAACTTAAATGTCTGTAACAGAAAGAAACCATGTTACAGTAATGTGTCACAATTTGCTCTTTTCTCTGACACGTTTATCGCGATTCGGTTTATCCTCTGTATTAAACTACAGGATCTGCAGCTTTGATTTCAGAGGCTGCATTCTGAACCGAATATGATGACAGTTTCAGCTTAAAGCAATCACGCACACAGACTGAAACTAAAGTTGACCAAATGCATGGAGGCTGCGATGTTAGATTAGTTTTCTACATTATCAAACGATGGTTAAAGGATTGGTTCACCTCCAGAATTAAAATCTCCTGATCATTTACTCTCATCTGAGATGTTCTTTCAGTCGCAGAGAAATTAAGGTTTTTGAGGAAAACGTTCCAGGATTTTTCTCCGTATAATGGACTTCAATGGAGACCAAATCACAGTTTCAGAGCAGCTTGAAAGAGCTCTACAGGATCCCAGCCGAGGAATAAGAGTCTCATCTAGAGAAACCATCCTCATTGTCTTTAAATAAATAAACATTTATATAGTTTTTAACCACAGATGCTGGTCTTGCACTAGCTGGGCTTCCAGGACATCTCGGATGACATGGTGGAGAGTAAATGATCAGATGTTTATTCTGGAAGTGAACTATAATCCTATAATAACAGCTATAACTATATTAGCGTCCACACCCGTGTTCACCGGCTCACTGTTCAATCTAAACATGGCCTGCCGCTTTCCTGCTCGAGCTCTTTAAAGCAGAATGGATTCTGATTGGCTGTCAATGCATTTATCACTCAGCAGCTGGAAGGTCAAATCTCTGTTGTTGTAGTTGTAGTGTGGGCTGGTTATTATAGGTGTGCAGTTATAGCTCTGGCTGTTGCAGTAACAGTGTAAAGGGCTCTGTGTGCTGCAGACACCGGAGGCGCGGTGGACGGCAGGTATTTGAGTAACAGATCTGAACGTGTCTGCTGGACGAACTCCAGGTGATCAGCTCCTCCTGACAGCAGCGTTTCTGAGAGCTCTCCGCTACACTCAAGCTTCTCAAAACAGCCACATAAACATGTTTTACGGGATCATAAAAGGATCTAAATGTAGAAGTCGCTCCCGCCACAAGATCCACGGCGCTTCCAACAAGCCCAGCCACGTATTTTTTTTATTAAAGGAACAGTTCACCCAAAAAATGAAAACTATGTCATCGTTTACTCACCCAAACCTTCTGCTGAACATGAAATAACGCATTCTGAAGAATGTGGGTAAGTAAACAGCCATTGACTTGTATAGTGCTATGGCTACCGTCAACACATACTTCAAAATATCTTATTTCATGTTCAGCAGACTCATGAGGCAATAAATTGAAAGTAAATGATGACAGAGTTTTTATTTTTAGGTGAGCTATCCCTTCCCTGACAGCACACGAGCTTCACGGAGACGTCTGCGTTACATCTGTTCCTCATCTGCTATACGTCTACGGTTCCTATCAGATGCTGAATACACGTTCAGAAGATGTCTTTAAGATGTTTATGATTCACAATGCATGTAAAACTGACATCTTAGAGACGTTTGCACACAGCAGACGCTCTCCAGATGAAGCGATGTTTCACCGGTTTAAGCAGTGAGAGGAACAAGATCTGCTAAACTAATGCAGAAAACCTTACAAGATTCCCTTTCGATCTGGAAACAACTGTTATTGGTCAAACAGATGAGCTAAAATAAGAGAGGTGAGAGCGATATGAGGATGGAATGATAGACAGAACGACAGAAAGAACATCACAACAACAGAAAACACAAAAGAGTGATATAACGAATGATAAACATCATAATGCACAGAACAGAAAGCAGACAGTCGTACCTTGAGCTCGTGTGATTAATACTGATGTCAGTATCAGGATCAGCAGCACTCGAACCTGCATCCTCTCAGCTGACACACACACACACACACACACACACACACACAGAATTAATCACACAACATCACAAACCTACATTCATTCATTTAGCAGACGGCTGTATCAGAAGCGACTAACAAATGAACAGCGTCATCAGTACACACACACACACACACACTCACACACTCACACACATACACACTCACACACACACACACACACACACACACACACACACACACACACAC